CCCCCCCCCCTCAGACGTCCTGAGATTACATCTTGAAATTGTCTTATCTCTTATACAATTGTAATAATCTAAATTTAATTTAATTAATTCTTTTTTGGCCTTTTCGTATGTCACCTTTAAATGTTTTCATATACATTAAACTTTGCTAAATAGCATTGTCAAGGGCCCCACTGTAGTAAACAGGGTTCCTATACGGGGTTTGGAAAAGTATGGAATTTGATTTAAGTAGGCTATTTTCCAGGTCTGGAAAAGTATGGGGGGGGGGAAAGCAGGGTATGGAAAAATGTTTGTGTTTCCAGACTTTTGCCTTTATTTTGTTTTTTTATAATAGAAAATTAAGAATTTAATGAAAAAAAATTAGTGTACAAGAAGTGAGGTTTCATGGCAGCTGTTTAGTGATTCTTTAGTTATCGTCAAATATGACTGAATGAATTCAAGGTGCACTTTTTCATTATGCAAAATCCAGGTTATAAGCATTTTGGGTTTCTTCTCACTGTATTCTTAGCACCTTATTACATAACCTCAAGGACCTTTGCAAAAATAAAAAATATACTGACTTTTATGTGCGCAAAAGAAACCATTACAATTAGCATAATGCACACTGAGCTACCTATTGTGCCATCAGCCTGTTTCGTGGTGTGGTTTCTTGGCCGCCAGAGACTATGCATTAAAGAGACCTAAGGCCTTGAAATATGGCATACTGCCCCAATGAAAGCCAAACCTTAAACACTTTTTTACAGTACCAGTCTTTTTTATAGACCCTTGAATTTGGCTAATTTTATGCCATCAGCCCATTTCGGGTCATGGTTTCTTGCCGCCACAGAAGGTGTGTTAAATTGGACATTAGGCCTTGATATTAGAGGTACTACCATAAGAAATGCCAAATTTTGAGCGGGTAGATCTCTGTTAATTCATGTGCATCCATGCTATTGTTTTATTCATAGTAAGATGGCAGTGATGCACAAAGGAAATAGGTTATATAAAACTAGAAATTGTAATGCGTAAGCATGCAAAACATTCCCACGCACATGTGAATAGTTTCTCGAGGGCACAAAAAAGTTTTGTGTGCATGTTAAATTCTGTTTTTCTTTTTATCATTATTTTTATTTTTATTTTAGGGACTCTGTATGCTGTCACTTCGAGAAAATCAATGAAAAAACCCTGAGAAAATAAAAATATTTACAGATGACTGTACTATACACCAAATATAAAGCTGAAAATAATGTTCTATGAACCATTTATGTTAAATATGGTCTGAAAATCGGTTTGGAAATTTGAGTCTGGAAAAGTATGGAATTTTGAAATGGAAAATATGTAGGAACCCTGAGTAAATGAACTGTTTCTTGTAATGTTCAAGAACCTAACCTGAGATGTATTCACTTGGTGGGAATGACCCAACTGCACTTCATGAGGCAACATTATGTCTTTCACAAAATATTTTATGTTCAGAAAAAATGCTGATGTACATGGAAATTTATGTACTTTGGAATAATGTTCTTTATGACCCCTGTCGCTGTTAGCTTAACAGTCCCCTAATGCATCATAAATCATGGTTACTCTGACACAGGACTCCTGTGGACCCAAAGGCCTAATTTTCCAAACCAGGTCGACCCACCTTTTGAAGTAAAGCGAGCAGATAAAGCAGCTGAGAGTTTTAATTTCGCGGTTCCTGACAGGGAAAGCTGTGATCTGGCTGGAAGGTGGCAGGTTAGCTGGGGTGAAGGGATTGAAGCGACACCTCTGCCCGGCCGCGGGCCTCCGCTCAACCCCTGGGGAACCCAGCAGGTGCTGCAAAGTTCCTGGAAACCGCTCAAGTTCACCGAGATTAAGACACAATAAAACTGCCTTCTCAGGAGATCTTTAACCGTAAACTGGAAAAGCTTTTACTTGATTAACACAAACAAAAAAAAACAGTGTCATTTCTGGTCACGACTGAGAACCTGCCAAAACCGATGTTTGAATTCAGAAAGCAGCTTGTTGTATCTTCTCAAGGTCAATTCTAACATCAAAGGTTTTGTTCCACGTGAAGAAATCAAATGTGTCCAACGAATGGAAGCAGACAAGTTTGTGCGCATATTTCACAACTCTACAAGATTTTTGGCTCACTTATAAGTCATGTACTAAGTCAAGACATTTTATGTCGGGTTTATGTAAAGTTTTGAAGTCGGTGAATAAGTAAAGACAGTACTGTGGTGTGCGGGGGACGGAGGGCTTGTTTTAAACAAAGTTGTTGCAACATGCCCCAGCAGGAAGAGCAGTGTGGGAAACGCTCTTCTGCTTTGATCCTCGGCTGCTCCTCGCAGAAGGAGCCAGTATAATTACGTTGGTCCTCCAGGATGGGTGGTATGGGGGATCTGCCCTCCTGTAAACACTAATGGTGAGCAACACGCAGGAAGTTGTTCAGGAAGCTGTTTGGTTACTTGGTTTCTCAATCTTCCCTCCCTGGTGTTGTGGTAAATAACCTCGTCTTGTTTTGAGACTGAGGTGGCCAAGTGTAGTCATCTCATCAAAGTATATCTTGAGACCATTTTGTTTATGGTAATGTTTAGGTGAAATGATAGATAGATAGATAGATAGATAGATAGATAGATAGACACCAGATATAGAAAACTGAAATGAGTTGCTAAAACCCACTGGCATGTGCTGCCAACATGTTTATATTTATATACACAGCTCCCCATGAATCAAGCCGCAAAAAAAACAGCAGCTGTGTTTCTATATTGGCAACAGCTGTTTGCTAATCTTTTAAAATCATCATGATTTCTAAATGTGTTCAAACATTTTTGCTATTCCCACGTAGACCGCAAACTGATCAGAGGTGGTCTTATAGGAATAGTTCACCCAAAAAAATGAAAATTCGCTGACATTTACTCACCCTTAGGCCTTAAGATGTAGATGAGTTTGTTTCTTCATTAGAACAGATTTGGAGAACCATTCAAGATGTACAGTAGATGGGTTTGTTTCTTCATCGGAAAAGATTGGGTGAAATTTAGCATTACATAGCTTGCTCACTAATGGATCCTCTGCAGTGAATGGGTGCCGTCAGACTGAGAGTCCAAACAGCTGCTAAAAACATCACAATAATCCACAAGTAATCCACACCACTCCAGTCCATCAGTTAATGTCTTGTGAAGCGAAAAGCTGCATTTTTGTAAGAAACAAATCTATCAATAAGATGCTTTTAACCTCAAACGTTGCTTCCAGCTAAAATGCAAGTCCTCTATCCATAATATTGCTTTCTCCAAAGAAAAAGCCATCTCGTCTGAATCAGTAGAGAAATATGTTTACAATAAGAAATAAGTTTACAAGTGAAAACAGTCCAAAACAGTTCTAAACACAAATGTCATCGGGTTTTGATGTAAGACGACAACAGGAGATGGAATTTTTCACTGGAGGAAGCAGTATTATGGTTTATGGACTTGTATTTTAGCCAGAGGCAAGTTAAAAACATATTTATGGATTTGTTTTTTACAAAAATGCAGCTTTTAATTTCACAAAACATTAATTGATGGACTGGAGTGGTGTGGATTACTTGTGGATTATTGTGATGTTTTTATCAGCTGTTTGGACTCTCATTCTGACGGCACCCATTCACTGCAGAGGATTCATTGGTGAGCAAGTGATGTAATGCTACATTTCTCCAAATCAGTTCTGATTAAGAAACAAACTCATCTACATCTTAGATGGCCTGAGGACGAGTACATTTTCAGCAAATTCTCATTTTTGGGTGAAATATTCCTTTAAGGTGGTTCAACTAACCAAAGAATCTAAAAAAAACTCACTTGATACCAAATACCTAATATTGCTCTTTTATATGCACGAGTGAAATCACTCATAATTATATTAGTATTCAAATATACTTTACTAGGAGTGTCTAATCAAACATTACTGTATCAAGTGGACATCAGATCCATTCATTCTTCTAATACAATGTCAATATCCCACTGGCAAAAATCTCTCATTATTGACAAAGGTGTGTTAGTGATGAAATGGCAAATCAATATTTGCTCCATCAATGTTTATTAATAGTCATTTGACATTTGCTTGTGTGTTTCCTTTGGTTAAATTATGGTTTAAATGTCCCTGCAGGTGTGGTCGTGTAAATCAGTAGTAGTTTTCCTTGTCATCTGTGCTTATCTATCCCATACACACTCATTTATTTAAATGTATTTACATTTTGCACAGGAAATGACATGTGCGTTCAGCGTCTGACAGGTGTGTATGTGGCTGGGTTGATAAAGGGGGGCGGCAGTAATCTGATCACAGAAATCATTTGCCAGTATATGAGCTCTTGTATAACAGATTAATCACAGCTTTAAAGCAAGCGAGATGTTCCGTTCCTGTGTGCTTTCACAGATTAAATTGTCCAATTACAATACAGTTGTGTTTAAAAAAGACGCCTTCATGCAATGCTGACTTCAGTAGGGATCAATGGTAAATCATTGACTTCAATGCACACTTGTTAGTACATTAATAATCATCATATGTACAAACAATTCACATTTCAGTGAAATCACCATCATAAACCTTGCATTTCAAGCATCTCATCAAGCCTGGGCTATAT